CAAAATCATCAATTTTTTTGCTACTGCAACCGCCGCCGCAGCAATTCATAAATGCCGTCTGTTTACACTTTCTCAAAGTGCGCACACTATTTAGGCTAACAACGTGACTTTGGGTTGAAATGCCTGCCTGTCTGCAATTCGGTTGCTCTGTTTTCAGTGTGCTCCAGGCATGCTGGTTGCCGTTACCAGCACATACATCTCTCCTCTCAACTGTTAATAAACTGAGAATATTACTCTAGAAAGACCACACCAAATGATATAGTGTGATTTGCCTTTAAATCCCAAACAAAAGCTTTATTTTATATTAGTCGAATTTTTTCGATTGGTAAGTTTTCTAGTTTGTTATCAGTGTTTGTTTACGTTTCACTAACTAAAACTACGTTTCATTTTTTGCCAGATCTGTTTGCCCTGTTTGGCAATCGTCTCAAACACACACTTGCAGTAATGTTTCAATTGTNCCAAATGATATAGTGTGATTTGCTTTTAAATCCCAAACAAAAGCTTTATTTTATATTAGTCGAATTTTTTCAATTGGTAAGTTTTCTAGTTTGTTACCAGTGTTTGTTTACGTTTCACTAACTGAAACTACGTTTCATTTTTTGCCAGATCTGTTTGCCCTGTTTGGCAATCGTCTCAAACACACACTTGCAGTAATGTTTCAATTGTCAAACAGTAAGTGATAGGAGATTGATTTGCACTACTCACCTGACTCATTTCCCTCCCATTCAGCCGTAAACCTTCCGAGCATCAGCAGCAACAGCACCACACCGAGCCGCAGCAGCATCGGCAGTGGCCGTCGACCTGGTGACGGCACCGAGGACAACTCCGCCGATGATGAGGACAGCAGTTGTGGAAGTGGTAACGGTGATGGCGGCAACAGTACTCGAGGTAACCTCAACTATCAAGATCATACTGCTACTTCGTTTTACTCTTTTTTTGCTGACATATTTTTTCTACCTAACACACACACACACACTCATTAGTCACTAGTGGCGGTCGGTTGCAGGTAGTGCAGAAGCCACAACA